GCTGGGTTTATAGGGACAGACATGTGTCACCATATCCGGCTTTAACTAATTCTTAATTAAGGGACTTAAATCTAAACTTCCTTAAGGCCTATTTTACCTAGTTAAAGTTTAGCTTAGGTAAAGCCTTTTTAAGGTCTAAACATACTTAATATTTAGAAAGAGCACAGTTAGGTCAAACAAGAGCCTTAGCATAATTAAAACATGTCTGGTCTTGTTAAATTGTTTTGAACACCTATGTGTAGTTAACTACACTACAACTAGGGTTTAATTAGGTTAAGGTTCTGCATAGGACTTAACTGGACACTGCCTAACAATTAATAAAGCTGAGGTACTGGGTGAGACTTAAATGAGGTCTCAAATAGACCTAAACTTAGCTCAAGTTCTGGCTAGTACTTAATTCAGCTTTAATTAAACTTAAATTAGGTTTAGGCTTTAAATAGAGTTTAAATAGCCTATGAGTAGTCATAAACTGGGCTTAGGCACTAAGATTTAACTGGGCTGTGATTGGACCTAAATTGTGATAAGACTGTGGTTTAAGCTTATCTGGTTTCTAACTGGACCAGTACTAAGATTAGCTCTTTGCAACTCCTTAAGTGGAGTCTCACTTTTAACTATGCTGAGATCCTACCTAGACCAAAACTATTTTTATACATGAACTAGGCTGATGCTCTTGCTAAGTCTTAACTAAGCTCTGACTAGACATAAACTAGGCTTAGGGCTTGATTGGCACTGAATAGACCTAAATTAGTCTTCGACCCTAAGACCTAATCAGCTTATTCAGAAACATAATTTTTATCTCAGTTAAGACTTAGGGCCTAAGCCAAATAAGACACAGTGAAATTTAGTTAAATTCTAGGCAGGGCCCAGGCTAGTTAAAGACTAGTCAGAGCCAACTTAATAACTAGACAGTACCTAAGCCTAGTTTCCACCTAGTTAAAGCTCATTTAAGCTCCAGGCAGTGCTCAACCTGGGTTATGTTTAGTCATAGCTTAGTTAAGACTTAGCTAGGGCCTAAGTCTATTTACAGGCTGCTTATACTAGTTAAAGTCTAGTTGTTTCAGTCAAGGCTTAGTCAGGGCTTGAATGTAGTTAAGATTTAGACAGAGTATAGTTAGGCCTCGTGAAAAACTTAGCATAGGGAAAGCCTTTCAGAATCCTTTTAAGGCTTAGTCAAAGATTAAGTCTAGTTAAAAGTTAGCTAGTTTGGTTAAGACCATTGCAGAATATTTTTAAAGCACATCCAGTGACTAAGCCTAGTTTAAATTTAGTCAGATCTCAGTTAAGCCTTAGCAAGTACTTAAGTCTGAGTGTTAAGCAATAGACATCACCTAAACCTGATTTGCATCTAAAGTCAAACCTAGTCAGGACCTGTGCTTCCTTGATTCCTATCCATAGTTTAGATAAGTCCTAGATAATCAGAGTGTAAATAAGGTATAATTAAGTCTAGTTAAAGTCTAAAAAGGGCCTTAGTCTAAGTGCTAGTCACAACCCACTTAAAGTCTTCCAAGTATCTAAGCCTAGTTGAGGTTTATTTGAAGGACACTTAGCCACTAGCAAAGGCTTATGCCTAATATATACCTAGCCGGATTCTGGTTAAGCCCTAGACAAGGCCTAAGCTTTGTTTAGGTCTAATCAGAATCTAATTAAATCTTAGTTTTTAAGCTTTGATAGTCATAGTGCAGTTAAGTCTTTGCAAGGTCATAAACATAGTTTAGTCTTATTCAGAAATTAGTTAGGGTTAGGGTTAGGGTGACTATGTTGTTTTTCTGACGGTTATGCAAGAATATGTGAGTCTGTAGCAATGAGCAAATTTAGAGGAAGAGGAAAAAAATTCAATAGAATTTGGTGTAAGTTGACCATAAGGAGATATTTTACTCACCCTTATTTGAGTTTCTGTTTTGAATTTTTCATATATTTTCAAGAAGGGGCCATGTTTAGCTCTTCAGCTGCACATTTCTTTCCTTGATAAATTAAAGATGGTTCACGGGGATTTTAAATGTCAGATCCTATAACCGGCAAGTGCCTTATTGCACAGTTTTTTTAAAGGCAAAGATTTGCAGCTTTTAAAAAAAGAGTTTAAAGGGTATATCCTATTGCTTTGTTTATTGTATTCCCCGAGAGATGCTACTGCTATGTCAAAATCATAAAATTTTCCCTTTGAGGACAAGGTCTTCTTGATGTTTCCTCAGAAATTGTAGGGCAATGAGAAGTTGTATATGTTTAGGGTAGTTATTTTAAAAATCTAGATTGGAGCTGGGCATGGTGGTGAGTGCCTTTAATCATAGCACTCTGGGAGGCTGCAGCAGTATTGAAAGTTTGAGCCCAGTGAGGGCAACATAGCAATTCAGTGAGACTGTTTCAAAATTTTAAAAAATGATAGAAAAAAAGGACTGAGGATGTAGCTCAGTGCAGAGACTCTGGGTACAGTCCACAGTAACACACACACACACACACACACACACACACACACACACACACACACACACA